ACATAGAAAGTTTGTCAGTCCAGACAGATTTCTATCAGTCCAAAGAAAAAAAATTCCATAAAAAGATGAAAACTGTATTTGAATTTTATCATCAATACATTTTGCACCCTGCATTATATACACACTGCAAACTTTATGCCAATTTGATCATCGTATAACACTCATGGGGGTCAATTTTCTTCATAAGTTTTTAATCTAGTTCGATTTTCTCATCTGGCTTACCCTAGCACCGTCGACAAACTTGTTTCAACAGTTAATCAATCATAGTTTGGTACTTGGGCTCATCGAAGAAGGCATTATGATATACTGAAAAGCGTTCAACAGATTATGATTGGTTGGTTATAGGGAATTTGTACAAAATTTAGTTGGATTTTCACAAGTTGCTCTCCAAACATCTAGCGTTCAACAGATTATGATCAGTCGGTTACCGTATTTGGGGGAATACAATACGCACTTTTTTCCTAAAATAAATTTTTTTGAGAAAGGGATGCGTATTTTACATCACAATGGGATTTTGACAAGTTTTTCTTTCAAGTGAAACATGGCTATCATACGTACATACCGTAGTATTACCTAGAGACATATGCAATTTCTTCTGTTAATTGCCATATTTTAAACTTCGGAAAGTTATTGTTGGAAGGTATGCTTCTTAAAAATGTCATTTTCATAATCTTTTGATACCAAAATAACATGAAAAAGTGAGTTAAAAGTAATTTGAGCTGCATGTTGATTGTCTCCGAGGAGGCCGCCATTACCGATGTTATTTTTAGACATACACTCATGCCTATGTCACTTGCTTCCGTAATGATAGTGCACATGCACCTTATCTGCCAGACAAAGTAATAAATCATTTTTTAATGAAATACAATAAAATAAATATTAATTTTAGGTTTAAAATAACTCAATGATAATCTGCAACAATATTAACACCCCTCCATACGTCCCAATGAAAGGAAGCCAATGTTGTGACACACGTGCGCTGGTCAAATGATAATTACCTATCAACACCCCTCGGGGCAATTAATTGTCTAACGACTCCAAATCAATGTTTTTACAGTTAGAGCACTGATTATTTTACTGCTATGTAAATTGCTTTGATTATTTTCTTTGTTAAAAATTGGGGGTCGGTTTATGACCTTTCGTATGTGTGAGCATGTGTTGATTACGGCACTTTAAACAATTAAACACTTGTTAAATGTAATTTTACCTTATCTTATACTTATCGGCCTCTTGTTTAAATAATTGAGAGTTGACAAATGAAATATAAATTATGCTAAAACTTTAAAGTGGTATCATTTACTAAGAAAATAAGATATCCGCGAAGATTCAGAAGAGGAAAATCGTAGTCTTCTTAAAGAAATAAGTACCTTGATGTTTCAATTTCGTTTCCTGTAAAAATATTGTAAGATAATTTTCAGCATGATTATCTAGAACCAAATTTAAATATGACAACTGATAAAACTTTCGACAATATCTCTTGCTTTGTTGAAATAAAATTATTTCATCTAAGAATATGGCGACGCATAATTTCAAAATCACCGTAACTGTTCTTTAAAAAAATCTGTTAAATACTTTTACGCAACATTATCTTGTGCTTTGTTGAAATAAATGAATAAATAATTTTCTCCAGATTGCCGCGATATGGAATGTCAGGATTATAAGAGAAAGTTATAAAGTGTGTATTTTGAAAAAAAAAGTGTGTTCAGTAAATTTTTGACACTTAATCCTCGCGTCGATTTTCGAAACAAATTACCGCGATTCAAAGTTCAGAACATCACTTGGTAAATTTTTCTGTTGCGTATAATACATCCGAACTGCGTTTTTTTCCCCAGTTTCAGACTCAAAAAGGGGGGTGCGTATTTTACATCAATGCGTATTATACTTGGCCAAATACGGTAAAGGGAATTCGTACGAAATTTAGTTGGATTTTCACAAGTTGCTCTCCCAACATCTACCGGTCATCTGGACTGAGACAGAACATAAAGTTATCGGTCCTTAGTTGTTTTTATCGGTCTTGCCGACAGGACCGAAAGATTTCAAGAACTCTGGGTTGGGGCTTGCATTTTAAACTACTTGATGATGTTTCCATATCAAAATAACAAACGTGTTTGTTGTTCTCAGCACAAAATTTTTTTTATGATTTTCCTTGTATATTCCTTTGTTAAAATTTGATACTGACCATTATGGCCCCACTCTACACCGGCCCCAGTTTAAGCAGCTAACTTGAATTTAAACTAATTAAGGATGCTTCCATTTCAATATGACTACACATGGTTTTACTATTCTTGAGAAGTAGATTTTCCTCTATATATAGTAATATACATAATACTTAATATATAAAACTTTGATCCTCCATTGTGGCCCCACCCTACCACTGGGGGTCATGATTTGTACAAACTTGAATCTATACACAACCTGAAGATGCTTTCATAACAACATGAATAATTATGGCCTTGATGTTCTTGAGAAGAAGCTTTTCTAATAATTTATTTAATATGTGATACATTGATCCCCTATAGTGGCCCCGTTCTACCCCCGGGGTCATAATTTTAACAAATTTGACCTAAAGTATGCTTTCATATCCATATAAATATGACTTAACATGGCTTTGTTGTTCTTGAGAAGAAGATTTTTACAGATTTTTCCTATATATTCCTATGTAGAACTTTGATCACTTGCCGCACCCTACCTCTGGGGTCATTTTTGAACAAATTTGAATCTAAACTACCTGAGAATGCTTTCTCGTCAATATGACTAAACAGGCTATGTTAATTGTTCTTGAGGAGAAGATTTGTACAGATTCTTTCCTATATATTCCTCTGTAAAAATTTTACAACCCCCCTTTTTACCCCACCCTAACCCTGGGGGTCATGATTTGAACAAACTTGAATCTATACTATGTAAAGAATGTTTCCTTTAAGTTTCAACCTTTTTGGTGTGGTGGTTCTGGAGAAGACGATTTAAAAACATGCCACCATATTCTCACTATTTTCTAATTATTTCCCCTTGTGAGAGGGTGTGGCCCTTCATTTGAACAAATCTGAATCCCCTTCACCCAAAAATACTTTGTGGCAAGTTTAGTCAAAATTGACCCAGTGGTTCAGGAGAAGAAGTCCAAAATGTGAAAAGTTTACACACGGACAGACAAAATGTGATCAGAAAACCTCACTTGAGCTTTCAGTTCAGGTTAGGTAAAAAGCTAACAAACAACAATTCTTGTAGAGAATAACTGGTCATTATGACTTGATCATATCAAAGATTCATGGAATGGGATTTTTTTAAATAAAAGTACCATAGTGGTTTTGTTTGAAATAATTAAATTAAGTGAAATATCAGCAGTTTAATGTACCTGAATCTGAGTGTCCATTAACTCCCATGTCTCCTGCAGTACATCTAATCGCTGCTTGTGAGTTCCTACATTATCAAATCTCCCAAAATACTGGTCTAAGAAAGATAATAAAATACGAAATTTAGGGGGAAATACATCAAGGTGATATGTAATTATTGTAGATTCCTCAATTTAAATACTAGTACAAGTATGTAATATTGTATGCAATATCGCAAATGACTCATGGATAAAAAATCACATGAACAGGATTTATCAAGTGGACTGATGATTTGGTGTACGAGGGTTGTCCAAAAAGTTCGTGGACAATGACGTTTTTGTTAAAATAAATGGTTCTCTATATGCATCTATTGTATATCAAAATATTTCTCATGAAAAAATAAGTCAGAATGATTTAATTTTTATTGATGAAACTTAATATTCTTGTAAAAATCGGTGTCTTTAAAGATCGCAGATTGTGCGCACGGACCAGTCTGATGTTACGCTAATTTCATCATAACGTCAAACATTTGGATTTTGACTTAACACATGTTCATGGACACACACTACGTTTCTTTTTTAAGGCACAACGCACTTCGAAGTGCTAGCAATAATCTTTCAGTATAGATTATAATTTATTTAATTTTTAAAATTCAAAACAATGCACAAAAATTTACGAGCGTCATCTAAATTAACAGTTTGTATACTCAAACTGAACAGCCCAGTTTGACGCTGCGCTAGATTTATAACAACGTCCTGAATAGAAATCTCCATTTACAATTAATTACATGGGTTTTTTTTTACATGCTTTTAGTGTCTTCGAAATTGTACACACTGTTGAAAAATCGTATATACGAATCCCAAATCAATACATTCCATATATTTTAATAATTTGAGTTGTTTTAACAAATATTTTGTTTCTCACATCGTTTCAAGCGTTATACATGTATAACTTAATTTTTTGACCGGACGCTGACCCGTGCCGACGGACGTCATTTTTTCTGTTGAGTTTTGACACGTACTTGTTAAGGTTTTCGTTGTGTATTTTCATTGTCTATATAGTAGGCGATATTTAAGATATCATAAAATTATAATAACCTCTTTATTTGTGTTACATAAAATTTTTATTATTTTTTGACTTGTTTTATATAGAAAATAATCATTTTAATCCGAACTCTTTATATTAGAGTTTACATCATTTTAACCTTGGTCCGTGCGCACTATCCGCGATATCTAAAGACCCCGATTTTTACAAAAATATTACGTTCCATCAATAAAATCTAAATCATTCTGACTTGTTTTTTCATAAGAAATATTTTGATATACAACAGATTTATATAGAACCATTTATTTTCACAAAAACGTCATTGTCCATGAACTTTTTGGACAACCCTCGTATGTTTTACATATATTTCAGGAATATAAAAAAACAAATAAATTTATTTTGCAAAGTAAGTGAATCTTTTTTGGAAAGTCATGCGATAATAAATTGCTCGAGTATGTTTAGAAATGTTTAGTTTGTAATCTTCCTAAATGCTAACACAGTACAATGTAACCTTTTCCTATAGCAGTCATACACTAGCTGAGAGGTTTATTACCAAATCATCTAAACACTAGTAGATAATACTCTACCTGCATCCACCGTTTTTTTCTTGCCTTTGAATGCAAAAGTCCCCTGTAATTGAGAGAGTTTGATCTAATATTATGTGGTTTGGTTGTGAATGTATTGTTATACAGAGAATAATATATACCCTTTTATCCCGCTTCAGACAAATTTGACGATTACTGATTTGATAAAAGCTAATCACATGACGCCCTGAAATTTTCCGTATTACATCTCCGTTGAGGCGTAATATGAAAATCGGGCACATGATTTCCGTTCGAAGCGTTGTTACTGTAAATAACCAGAAGTCTCTGTCGAGACTGAAGCTCTACTGGTTTGTACTTATGGCAAAGGAAGAGAAAAGTACTTAGGCAGTTGGAAATTGAAACTTTTCAACAGCAATAAATAGAATAATAATCCTTGATTAAGTCTCTTTATGTTCTTAGTGTAGTCTACTTGCATGCCACATTATATTATAACCAGACTAAAACTGTTATTTGGAGTAGCATTTTGAGAGTATTTAACAGAAATTTCTATTTTTAGTAATCATGGCAACACCATTCATTGAAATGAAAAACTGATACATAGAATTATGTACCTTAGTGTAGTCTACTTGTGTGCCAAGTTATATTGAAATAAGACCAAAACTGTAGAAGGAGTAGCATTTTGAAAGAATTTCACAGAAATTTCTATTTTTAGTAACCACAGCAACACAGTTCATCGAAATCAAAAACCGATATACAGAATTATGTATCTTTGTGTAGTCTACTTGTGTGATAAGTTATATTGAAATCAGACCAAAACTGTAGGAGGAGTAGCATTTTGAAAGAATTTCACAGAAATTTCTATTTTTAGTAACCACGGCAACACCGTTCATCGAAATCAAAAACTGATACACAGAATTATGTATCTTAGTGTAGTCTACTTGTGTGCCAAGTTATATTGAAATCAGACCAAAACTGTAGGAGGAGTAGCATTTTGAAAGAATTTCACAGAAATTTCTATTTTTAGTAACCACGGCAAGATCGTTCATCAAATTCAAAAACCGATATACAGAATTATGTATCTTAGTGTAGTCTACTTGTGTGTCAAGTTGTATTGAAATCAGACCAAAACTGTAGGAGACGTAGCATTTTCAAAGAATTTCACAGAAATTTCTATTTTTAGTAACCACGACAACACCGTTCATCGAAATCAAAAACGGATACACAGAATTATGTATCTTAGTGTAGTCTACTTGTGTGCCAAGTTATATTGAAATCAGACCAAAACTGTAGGAGGAGTAGCATTTTGAAAAATTGTTTACAGTCGGACAGACAGACAGACAGACGCATTACCATCGCATAAGCTCTTCTGGTCTCTGACCAGTAGAGCTAAAAATGGCGGCTATGAAATGGTTTACGTAGGTAGTTTAGTTAAATTTATTGTTACCGTAACGATATTTAATGTTGATTGTTATTGGATTAAAACCAAATATTTTCATAATATGCACAAATATTTTTTTTACATTGAATAAGGTCTTCAGCGGGATAAATTCGTAACACAGTCAGTTAGTGACCTAATACGGATTCATACAGGGTGTGAAATGGAAATCCGTATAGTGGCTCGGCTTCGCCTTGCCCAATACGGATTTCCATTTCACACCCTGTATGAATCCGTATTAGGTCACTAACTGACTGTGTAACTAATATTCCATACCACATTCTGTATCAGCCCGAGACACCAATATCAGCTCGAGGGAAAAGTGTGGAAAAGGGTATGTATTAATATGTTTATTACATACTTAGTAATAAAATACAGCATATCTTAAGTTGAGAAGAAAATAAATAAATAATCATGCATGGACTTCTTACATACATGTACATCATACATGTTAACTCTCCCGGTTTAGGCGGGAGTCTACCGCTTTTTCACTCCATCTCCCGCCTACCGATTTAATTCAGAAATCTACCGCTTTCTACAAATGCTGCGTCTTAAGTATTTTTGGTTCGCTTGGGTATCCATTTTTGAAGCCACTCTCACAAAATCTCGCTAGATATCGCGTGATTTGACTCGGAATCATACAAACGCTTTTTTTGTACAGAGATTTGAAGCACGGATTTGACAACGACAACAACACAAGACTACAAGTGATTACATTGGTTACGATAAATTAATCAACATCCCTGCCATGAAAAAGGAGACACAGCTTTTAAGAATTAGATGAAAACATTTGACATCGTCTTTAAAAGCACAGAAGCTCATAACTTTATCAATAAAGTCAATAGAAGTCACTCGATTGACCAAGCCATGTGGCACATCTCTACTTTCGTTTTCGATCATCGCGGGAAATCTGATTTATATAACGAAAGATAGGAACTTGTTTTAGATCTAGATTAAACCATGTCATAATTTGTTTTGTTTAAAAACTGAATGAACATTCAGAATTATTGCTTCTAGGCTATATCAGCAAAGATCAATCTTCAAAAGGCTAAGTAAAGCAGCCAATCCAAGCAAAATGATGAGCATGAAAAATATTTGTACAATTTATGTCAAACTTAAGGTGTTTCTGTCTTCTTCTTTGCTGTTGATATTTAAGATTAATTAGTGTAGGTACCTGATTTCATTTAAGGCTTATAATATACATGTATATTACATGAAAGATATCGATAATCAAGCGTTAAACAACACACGCGCAATGCTACCGCTTTTGAGGTCTGAATCTCCCTCTTTTTCATCACAATAGGTTAACATGTATGTGTGCATGGTCTATTGTCTCATAAGATTTGGGTTTGTTTCTACTTCTATTTCAATGCACTCGATCCATAATTTGAAAAAAATCTATTATTTGTAAATTAAGATTAACCTTATTTTCAAAAAGTTAAAATTAAGAGAATATGAACCCACCAAAAGTTGTGTATGATCACAAGTACTGTTTTTGTGATTTAATTTACTAAGGGTGTGATATTGATCCGTATCAGCCCTGCAGGGCTGATAACCTATATCAGCCCTGCAAATCCATATCAGCCCTGCAGGGCTGATAGATATTGTGACATCAGGCATATCGCATATGCAACAAGAGGCCCAAGGGCCTTGAATCGCACTTCTGATAAATTGTACAATCTATCTCTTCTATTTGAAGCCTCTAAGTATCCCAAGATGCATGAACTGACAATGTTTGATGATTCTTAGCCAGTCAGGGCTAAAATATTTCAGTATAGCTATGAAATACAATAAGTAGGTCACAGTGACATACTTTTCTGAGGACTCGAGATGCATTATTTAATTGACAAAGATTGATGATTCTAAGCCAATAAGTACCCAAGATATTCAAAGTAGGTCACTGCGACCTACTCTTCGGTCGACATTCTCCAAAAACCCAAGATGCCTCAACTGACAAAGTTTAACAATTCTAGGCCAATAAGTACCTAAGATACTTATGCCCTGTTCACACGGAGAGTTTAATTCGAATTAAACGTAAGTTTACTGAGAATTAGCTTCACTTAGCGTTCACACGGAGAATTTAATGCGAATTAGTTTAATTCACATTAGTTTACTGCGCATTAAATTACCTCGCATTAGCTCCGTGTGAACGCTAAGCGAAGCTAATTCGAATTAAATTTTGGGGCATGCGTAATGGCAAAATTAAGTCAAATGCGTCATGTCGGTGGTCAGCTTTAAGTACTTGTGCTATTTTTGAGTGAAAAACTAAGAAAAAATGTGTTAATCACTAAAATATGTCTCCTGAGACACTGTGACATTATGTCAAATGCATCTGCTTATGCATAAGGTGATGTGATTTGCAAATGACGTCATAATAGCCTTCCTCACGCCTGAATAACGAAGTAAAATTTTAATTCGCATTAGTTTACTTCGCATTAGCTGTTGTGTGAACGCAATTTAATTCGCATTAGTCTGATTCGAATTAGTTAACTTCGCATTAATTTACTGCGAATTAAACTTGTCGTGTGAACAGGGCATCAAATATAGCCATAAAATGTCACCATGACCTACTTTTTGTTTGACAATTTCAGAAGACCCAAGATGCATCAACTGACAAAGTTTGATGATTCTAAGCCAATAAGTACCTGAGATAATTAAAAGTAGGTCATTGTGACCTACTTTTTGGTAGACATTCTCCGAAAACCCAAGATGCCTCAACTAACAAAATTTTAACAATTCTAGGCCAATAAAGTACCTGGGGTACTTAAATATGGCCATAAAATTCTAAACTAGGTCACCATGACCTACTTTTTGGTCAACGTTCTCCGTAAATCAAAGTCGCATCAACTGACAAAGTTTGATGATTCTAAGCTAATAAGTACTTAAATATAGCCATAAAATGTCAAAAGTAGGTCAATGTGACCTACTTTTTGGTCGACAAATTCCGAAGAACCAAGATGTGTCAACTGACAAAGTTTGATGATTCTAAGCCAATAAGTATCTAAGATACTTAAACATAGCCATAAAATGTCAAAAGTAGGTCAATGTGACCTACATTTTGGTTGACATTTTCCGAAGACCCAAGATGCATCAACTGACAAAGTTTGATGATTCTAAGCCAATAAGTACCTAAGATACTTAAATATAGCCATAAAATGTCAAAAGTAGGTCACCGTGACCTACTTTTTGGTCGACATATTCCGAAGACCCAAGATGCATCAACTGACAAAGTTTGATGATCACAGGTCTGAAAGTATTCAAAATATGCCTTTTAAACAATTTGAAAACAAATTCCTGCAATTCAGAAAGTAAGTCACAGTGACCTACTTTTTCATATATGTGTTTTAAGGCTCCAAGATGCATCAACTTACAAGATCTGGTGATTCTAAACCTCTCGGTGTCTAAAATAATGGGATTAAATTTTTTAGAAAAGACTAAGCATAAAATTCAACAAGAGGCCCATCATGGCATGGGCCACATCGCTCACCTGAGCACTGTGGTTGGGAAAAAGTAGAAATTGGTTTATTATTGAATAGTTTATATCCAAAAGTAGTCCCATGACCAATTATGGCTTTGCTATTCTTGTTAAGATGATTTTTAAAGAATTTTCCTATATATGTCTATGTAAAACTTTGATTGGCCATTGTGGC